GTCTCCCGGCTTTATTTAAAGAGTTATTTCCTTAACAGGATATAACTGGGTTATCCTCAGCCAATTGCCACGGAAAGAGCGTCCTCGACGAAGTCTTCTTACCCCAGCGAAGTCCATCAACACTTCCTATACAACAAGGGTATCCCCAGCAAATTATTATCTACACTCAGCAAGGCATCCCTCTTCCCACAGAGTATTGCTTCCCAGCATGGTCGCTAGAGTATCTTTTCTCCCCGCAGAATCTTCCATTTGCCAAGTTTATTCCGCAACGGAGTCATCTTCTCCTACCGGTATTCTTGCAGTTATCATCCCCAGCGGAAGCAAAATCTATTCTTCAACATCAGCCCAGGATATGACTTCCCGGCACCCGTCAAGGATTTACTTTCCTAGACGAAAACATACATTCATAAAACATCACATACATCATTATAGCATGCATAGACGCATTATATCATACAAATCTCATTTATGTTGAGAACATCATTGCTTGATCCATATCATGCATTGCATATGACTGACCTTTACCTTTCAGGAAAGATACAGTTGAAATTCTCAATCATATTGCAAGACCTAGACCGGTTCAGTTAATCGACTCCAAAGATTTCTTATCCAGTCCCAGGCCTTCTCTAGTCCAGCTAAATCGACTCCCAACAGATTTTTCTGATAAGGACTCAGTAGAAGTTATCCCAGGTTATAATTTCCTATTGGTCCCCTCTCCGACGGTGAGTGAGGTGATAATCCCTTTTCAGATGGTTCCCTCTCCGACGGTGAGTGAGGTGGTAATTCCTTTTCAGATGGTTCACTCTCCGACGGTGAGTGAGGTAATAATTCCTTTTCAGATGGTTCCCTCTCCGAAGGTGAGTGAGGTGGTAATTCCTTTCCTATTGGTTCCCTCTCCGACGGTGAGTGAGGTGGTAATTCCTTTCCTATTGGTTCCCTCTCCGACGGTGAGTGAGGTGGTAATCCCTTTTCAGATGGTTCCCTCTCCGACGGTGAGTGAGGTGATAATTCCTTCCCTATGGTTCCCTCTCCGACGGTGAGTGAGGTGGTAATTCCTTTCCTAATGGTTCCCTCTCCGACGGTGAGTGAGGCGATAATTCCTTTTCAGATGGTTCCCTCTCCGACGGTGAGTGAGGTGGTAATTCCTTTTCAGATGGTTCACTCTCCGACGGTGAGTGAGGTGATAATTCCTTTTCAGATGGTTCCCTCTCCGACGGTGAGTGAGGTGGTAATCCCTTTTCAGATGGTTCCCTCTCCGACGGTGAGTGAAGTGGTAATTCCTTTCCTTATGGTTCCCTCTCCGACGGTGAGTGAGGTGATAATTCTTTTCCTTATGGTTCCCTCTCCGACGGTGAGTGAGGTGATAATTCCTTTCCTAATGGTTCCCTCTCCGATGGTGCGTGAGGTGGTAATTCCTTTCCTAATGGTTCCCTCTCCGATGGTGCGTGAGGTGGTAATTCCTTTCCTTATGGTTCCCTCTCCGATGGTGCGTGAGGTGGTAATTCATTTCCTTATGGTTCCCTCTCCGATGGTGCGTGAGGTGGTAATTCCTTTCCTTATGGTTCCCTCTCCGATGGTGCGTGAGGTGGTAATTCCTTTCCTAATGGTTCCCTCTCCGATGGTGCGTGAGGTGGTAATTCCTTTCCTAATGGTTCCCTCTCCGATGGTGCGTGAGGTGATAATTCCTTTCCTATTAGTTCCCTCTCCGATGGTGCGTGAGGTGATAATTCCCTTTCAGGTTATAATTTCCTTTGGTCCTCTCCCCGACGGTGCGTGAGATGTAATTCCCTTTCAGATTATAATTGCCTATTGGTTCTCTTCCGATACTGCGAAGACGGTAATCCCCACCAAGATTTTTCTCAACGAGCGTTGTTGAAGTTAAAGTCACCCAAGGTTCTCTTACCGTTCATGCTAAGGTAGTAACCACCCCTGGTTCATTCATCATCGTTTGAAGCTCCAGATTCAGCTCCTGTAACCAGTCAGGACATATCTACATCAAGCATCTGAAAACCAGCTCCTGCAACATGTCAGGTACTCTTTTTTCTTTTGCAGGTATGCAGGTTCTCGCTAAGGAATCTCTTACGCGATCAACATCCAGATGGCATCTATAAGCCCATTCCCCCGTCACACTACTATGTGAGCGTAAATTTCTGGGCACTCTAGTGTTCAATCATCTTCCACCTTCGGATTACGAAAGGCACGTCAGCCAATCTGCATCCTCAGGTCTAAGAAGATTGAACAGGGGCAACTGTTGTACCCCAAAATTTGCCCTCCCATATTTCTCAAAACATTTCAAGAAAATTCACAAGTCCAACCCGGCGCGTTATATTCAGGTGTTCTTTCGCCAAGATATCTCTGATAACATATTCTCAAATTCAGGTTCGGCTCAAGAGTCAATTCTTTAAAGAAGGTATCCGAATGTGTGAGTTTTCTTGAAGAAATATGGTGAAAAAGTGTGCTGAAAGTGCAGTTTTTACGCGCTAAAAAATTCATAACTTGAAGATCGTGGCTCGTTTTGAACCCGTTCCGGTGGCCAAAATTCCGTCTTGACATTATCTACGTTTTCATCTCTCACGGCTGGAAGCCAATTTCGATCAGAAGGTCTTCAAAAATGTGGATTTATCAAGTATTTTCATGCAGAAAATTTGTGACAGAAGTTTATTTGCGTCATGTTCAAAAAATCATAACTTGGTCGATTTTCATCGTATCGTGCTGGTTCCAGTGCCAAAATTTCACAAATTGAGTTGGCTACATTTTCACAGAAGGTATTGAGTTCAAACGGTATTCAAAAGGCCTTCGTTTTTTGCTCAGAGTGCGTGACACGCTGAAAATCCTGAATGCTGAATATTATTTCATCTGAGCCGAAACTTCGAAAATTCATAACTCGGTCAATTTTTATCGGATTGGACTCATATTTTTACACAAGGTCCCTGACTTGTAGATCTACAACTTTGCTTCAAAAGTCGAGACCAAATTATGCACCGATCAATACCAGTTTTTTATTGAAGAACGTGTCAGAGTCGACACTAGAGCCCAAAATAAGTTTGTCTGAGCTGAAACTTCAAAAATTCATAACTAATTCACTGTTTATCCGATTGAGTCGATTTTCGGACAGGAGTTAGTTCTCGATATCAGCTACATTTTGTTTTCACATTTCAACTTCAAAAAATGCACTTAAGTCCCTGCGATTTAGCCTGGAAAGTGACGAATTCAAGTGAATATTGGAGGCCCAATTGCACATTCAAAGCCCATTTGCTTTACCCTAATTTCCATTATATAACACTACAAGAAAAATGATAGATTGGGACGGTTATTTTGGCTGATTACGACGGTTAAAACCGTCGCAATTTACAATCTACGACGGTAGAAGTACCGTCGCAGAATCGTGCGTCCCCAGCCTATTTCGCGACGGTTGCAAAACTGTCACGCACAACAGATAGCGACGGTTATATACCGTCGTGAATTTGACTTTATTTTTTGTTTTTGTTATTGTTTGCGACGGTTATTCTACCGCCGTAGGTTAGAAATTGCGGCGGTTTTAACCGTCGTAATCTGATTTATAAATTTCAAATAATATTTTTATTTAAATTATTATTTAGTAAAATAATTTTAAATATAATATTATTTTACTATAATATTTTACTATTATATTTAAATTATTATTTACTTTAATATTTTTTTTATTTATAGTATTTTTATTTTATTTTCTATCACTTTTCAACATAATAAAGTTAATTACAATAAAAACATTTAATATCAAATAATCATCAATAATATCAAAAAAATGTGATCAAAGGTAAAAAGAAGTACAAATTTTACCAATAAACAAGAAAAATTCAAATATCATCAAAGGCCAAATTTCATTTTAATATTTACATTGGTTTGCTACAACTTGAGAGAATTACAAAAAATGTTACAATATTCTACAAAATTCATGAAAGTCCTTAGTGTTAAGTGATTTTGTGTTAAACTTCCATGCTAGGACCATGATCCTTCCTTGACTACCATTTGGTCCAAGCTACGCATACCTAGCAGCCTGCAAGATTCACACAAAACATAAGCAATATCTTAGGGCAAGTTTAAACAAACTTCTAACTTCTAGAAACTTTTCAAGCAATTGGCAGCTCACCACAGTCACTGATAACAACCTTCTTTCGTGGACGATCACCACGATCTGTCTCTTGCGATTCAATCAATCTAACAATGTCCATGCCTTCCAAAACTTGGCCAAAAACAACATGTTTCTGATCAAGCCATTGCGTCTGTGCCAAATAAGTTGATAAGCAGATATGAATTGAAAGTAAGAGAGGTTGAAAATGGAAGTTATGAAGTTGATAAGCAGATATGAATTGAAAGTAAGAGAGGTTGAAAATGGAAGTTATGAAGTTGATAAGCAGATATGAATTGAAAGGAAGTTATGGAGTACCTTGACGGTGCATATGAAAAACTGACTCTCATCAGATAACCTAATTTGACTTACAAAGGGGAAATTATCACTAAATTCATTCAAAATAACTTACAAGGGGAAAATCATAGCAGTATGTGGTGCTACTCTTTCTTTCTGCGAGACGTTTTCGGTCAATAACTCCCAAAGGTTGATAGTTTTCGTTCACTGGTACACCATGCAGTGGACCCTTTACTGTGACTGAACTGTAAACCACTTTATGAGTGGTGGCATCCTCCATTTCTCGATATATCTGAATTTTAAAAATCATGAATCTGAGAGGGAAGAGCATGCAGGAAGTTTTCCTTTAAATTTTTAAGAAACTAAAAAACTTACATGTACAGTGGATGTATGACCAGTAACATTGTTTACAATGACCCTCCAAGCACCATTTGCCTGTCCACATGCTGTAATCCAGAGCTTCACTTCCCATACAAAAACTCCTAATCTATGCATTCTTACACCAACAGAGGAATGGATTTCCTGTGCCAGTTCTTCCAAGATTGTCTCTACTGTTGTTTCTTCTTGACCGGCATCTATGTTGATTTTTCTGGTATTAACATCCAAACTGCATGGCTTGACCTTCAGCCATTCTGAAATGAATAATCCCAGAAGCAGGGGAGAGAAGAGGCATACACATCTTCATGACCTCAACTTCAGCATATGGTGTGTCTACATCAATGTGACTGTCGTCTGCAACCAAATATCTCAGAAGCTTGCATGGAGTCTCTCCAATTAACTTTGATGGATCGTGATCATTCTGCATATGAAAGGGGTTTAGTCACCTCAGCCACCTTAAAAAGAAATCAAATTTTTAAAGGGTAGAAATAAATTAGTTTCACCTGAAGCAAGCAAGTCCTTCCATCAATTAGAAGGCGAGTTCCAGCTGCTTCTTCCTCTGCATATATTACATGACTGTTTCCATCCAACTGTAACAAATGGAAACTAACAGTTAAGAAATCAAAGAAACTCATGCTATAAAATTGACTATATTGAGTAATAATCCAATGAAGAGAGCTACAAAAGTTCAAATGCATAGATAGTTCAGAGAGTAATACTTGCCTGCATCAACAAACCTCCATCACGTAAAGTATGAATCTCCGCTTCTATCTCTGATTGATTCAATTTCAGTTTATAACTCCCAGGTCCTCCTCGTATCATGTCAATCTACATAATTGTTTTGGAAGATGAGTCATGCAAATTGAGCATTGCATATGATAGCGTAAGTCCCCAAAAAAGGTAAGGGAATTACTAAGAAAGATTACATACAGTATATTTGCTTCCTTCAATGCTTAAGGACACTTGAGAACGGACAAGAGATATGTGCTGGCATAATTATAAAAAAAAACATTAGTATCACTAAAAAATAAGCACGGAGTTAGATACACGTTTTCCCATTTGGATATAATACCTTAGGAGGGATTTGCCCCTTCTCAAGATAGCCAACATAGTCTGAAACCAAAGCAGCACTACTAGCAGTAGCTTTCTGTATTAATTAGAAGAAGCCACAGATCATGAATTTGAACGTGAGAAAATACCAAAAACTCGAGGAGAAAATGATAAAATTAAGAATAAGAAAGTTTGCTTACATAGAGTGCCCCTCCAACAACAGACAGATACCAAGGAGGTCTCTCTGCTCTAACCCGCATTGCAATTCTACTATCCAGCCATCCAGTGTGAATTTTGTTATCTCTGTAGTCTGATGCCTGAGATAAAATATTATAATAGTGTTACTTCTGCATAATAAACATGTTTCATAAAACTAGCTTGTCATCATGATAAAAAGATACTCAACTGTAGCTGCCCCAACATAATTTACAGATATAGCTAATCTTCTAGCCGCTTGTTCAAGTTCTTTCACCGTTTCTGGGGGTGCTACAGTAATCGGACCCTCCTCAATAATCTGTTCCAGATGATTGATTATGTCATTACCGAGATTCATTCCATCGTGACAATTTGGTGTAGTAACTAGTAACAGAAAATTTTCATACCTTTTGACAATTTGGTGTAGTAACTAGTAACAATTCCTTTTGCTTTTAATGCATCTGGTAGCTCAGGATTCTCTGATGCATGACCCCAACCAGGCCATACCGCATCAACATGAGTTATCTCGGCAATCTGGAAAACACATTGCATTGCCGTCAGCAAAATTAACAAGTTATGCAGATCAAAATAATCACAATTACATAAGCACTGAAATCATTTAAATGACAAGAATAAATAAACTGCAGTAATCTCATGAAGTCGACATCACATACCTCTAGAATAAGCTGCACATTAGCGTAGTTATTGTTATTGGTCCCACCAGGTACTTCCACAAACTGATCAGCTATTCTGATATGTTCTGCATTGATTCTCATGTCTTCTGAAGTAGCCATGGCAACCAACAAGATAGCCTGTCAATAAGTAGGTACCAAACTATTGAGGAACATGTTAAAATAGTTAAATAGACAAAATAAAAGAGATAGGCATTGCTGCATTATTAAGGTTACGGCCATGTGGCCTTGGTCACAACTTCCTGTTCTTTCCACACTTTTGTCTCTGATATAACTTAGTGACAGTTTTTACAATTTAGTGACATAATTAGCGACTTTTTCAACTTAGCGGCTGAATAGGTTCTTTTGTAATTGGACTTGGCTCCACCGAAGTAAGGGGCCTTTTAAATAAAATTGCATTACTGTTGATTGAATACTCAAGGTCAAAATAGGATCAAGAATATCCACATGCACAACAAAAGATATCAAAACCTACTTAGGAAGTAAAATAAAACTACATGCAATTCATGAAATTCATCGTTTTGAAGTTTAAGGTCAAAATACTACCAAAAAGATCTGCAGTTATGAAAACCTACTTCTTTGGGAAGTAGAACAAACTAGATGCAACCCATGATATTAATCGTTTTACAGTTCAAAATTTTCAGTCATTCCAAATCAATGAAGTCTAATGAATATGAGACAAGGTTAAAAGTATATTAGTACAAGATAATCCAGCTAAATCATCTACTAAATGTTGCTTCATTCACACCTGCTATATTGGTTATCTGTACACTGTTAAGATACCTACACCATGCTACAACAGCCAATTGAGATACAAACTTTTAAAGGAATTGCCTCACCCTTCCACTTTCCTCTCAAGAGAACTCATTAACTTCCAAGTTGGGTATTATTCCTTCTTGAAACAATTTCTGATGCCCAAGCTTTGCCGATTTCAGTTTGGAACTTCCCTGCAAAACGTCAAAAACATCCCCCAGTAAGTACTTTTATATGCTTTTATGTGCATGTATAAAAATGTGTGTAAGAACCAAAATTGTAATAATATGTGAAACTCAGAAGCATAATGCTGTATTTTGAAATGAGGGACTAAAATCTTGTTTCAGGTAAAATAGGGGAATAAAAAAAATGCATTTAACTGTATATGATTTTAAGTGAATAGATAGCCAAACCAAGTTATTCAGATGTCAAATGACACTCCATCTCACCATACCTATGCAATTTACATAGCCCATTTGCAAGAATGTTGAATGTAAACACATCTGCATTGAATCCTTTCCTTTCCATGATCGTTTGCAGCCTCAAAGCTTCATCCATCATTCCTCTTTTGCAGTAGCCATCTATCATCGTGTTAAATATTATCATATTTAGGTCAATTCCCTTACTTTGCATCTCTTCCAACAAGATTTCCGCAGCTTCCATTTGACCAGCCATACACACACCACCAATCAACGCGCCGTAAGTATGTGCATTAGGAGCAACATTTCTCTGAGCCATATCATCAAACAACACAAATGCCCTTTTCATATTTCCCAACCTACAATTCCAACTTATCATGGACGAATAAACATAAACATCAATTTCTATTTTTCTTTCACGCATTTCCTCGAATATCTTCTCCACTTCCCCAATATCACCAGAACTAGAATACCACTGAATCAAAATACTATAAGTCGCCACACTAAAAACAACCGGCTCCTTCTCCATCAACCTCAGTATCTCACCAACTCCACTTTGATCCTTTCTTCCAACATACGCATTCAACAACGTATTGTAAGTAAACACAGTCGGTTTCACAATGCTTTTAGTGACCATCTCATCCATCAACTCCTTAGCTTTCTCAACCTCTCCTCTCTTACACAAGCCATCAATCACAAGTGTCAAAGACTGAACCCTAATTTCAATTCCATTAGACTCAACCATCCGGCGGAAGAATCTAAGACACAACTCAATCTCACCACATCTCTTCAAAGCAAGCAAAAGCACAAAACAAGACCTCTCCTCTATCACGAACCCCTTTTCCTCCACATAATCAAAAACCCTAACCGCCTCTGGAAACAACCTATTATCAGAACAAACCCTAAACAACATATCACAAAGCTTGTCAACAAAATGAAACTCAAATTCATCAAGCAAATCAACGATCCCCGAAACTGGGGAGCGAAATTGGGAATCAGTAACAACGGAATTCAGAATAGTCTTGATGGTGGCGAATTTGCGAGCTTTAAAGAGTCTAGAAAAGAGAATCAAATGGGCCTTGAGGTCAGGTTTGAGTGAATGGTTGGAATGATGGGTTTTGAGGAAGTGGAAAAAGGATAAACAGGAATGCGGTTGGAGAATAGGGTCTGAAAGAACACGGTAAGTAACATGGGGGGTGAAGGTGATGCAGGAAATGATGGAGTGAAGTTCGGTGTTATTGGGTTTGAAATAGTTGGGTTTAAATTGCAGTAAAGCGTAATAGACGAAGCGGGGTAAAGGATTTAGGGGGACGATGGGTGTGGTTACCGTCGTGCCCTTTCATAACTTTTGCATGTTTTTTAAAGGTTTAGGGGGGCGACGGTTGTTTTACCGTCGTGATGTCTATTTTAGGACGGTTTCTTAACCGTCGCAACATTCATTTTAGGGCGGTAGGTGTATACCGTCGTGACATGGGTCCCTATATTAGAATTACGACGGTTATTAAGTAACTGTCGCAATTTTTGTGTCGTAAAATCCTAATTTTCTTGTAGTGTAATCACTTTCTTTTCACACAAACCAAAGAGGAGAAAAAGGAAGAGAAAAAAGGAGAAAAAAAGAAGGAGGAAAAAAGGAAAAAAAACCTTTCCACAACATTGTTAGAATATCAAACTCTTTCAAGAACCCTAAAACCTTGAAATCCTTATTACAAATCCCTCTCTCACTACAAACAAGCCATCTCAGTTACAAACCAACATCTTATTACTTCTTCAGTAAGGGCAAGGCTGGCTTGATCTCCATGATCCAAAGGGCATAAAAACATTCAGGTCACTAGTTTTCCAGTAAGGGTAAGATTGATTTGATCTCCATGATCAAAAGGGTATAATCATTCATACATGCCATATTGTGCCTAAACATTAAATTTCTTCATATGTTGGTTTTATTTGAATTTTATGATTTTATTTAATGTGTTCATGAGGTTGCAGATTTAGACAGGATCCCATGCAGGTTCATTAAGGAACGTTGAGGCCAAAAGCCAAATGGCCAAAGTAGAACATTTTATGCATGACACCAATACATGGCGAGGCAGACATTAAGCCAGACATTAAGGGAACGTTGAAGCCAGAACACAAATGGCCAAAAGCCAAAAGCCAAAAGCCAAATGGCCAAAGTAGAACAACTTATGCATGAAACTCAATCCAATGGCCAAAGAATGCAGACCACGGTACTCAGGAGTCAATACTTCAAAAAAACCTCCCCTTGGGCCAGACACCCCCTATGGTTTGCTCAATTTTTAATTTTTATTTGTTTTTCCTTTTTATTCTTTTAATTGTTTTTTAATTGTTTTCTTTTAATTCCATAAAATAATTTTCATAATAAATATAAAATACAAAAAAATCAAAAAAATGTTTATTTTATTAATATTAATTTTACTATTATTATTTTTGTAAATAAACTTTAAATAATTAATTAGATTAATTTAGGTATCAAAACTTTAATATTTTTCTTAATAAATTAAATATGTATAAATTAGGTTTTTTTAACTTTTTCATCATTTTTTTTAATAAATAATTTTCTCATTATTATTATTATTATTATTAATTACTAATTTATTTTGTAAATAAACATGTACATAAATTCTTTAGTAAATTAAGTTAAACTTTAACATTTTTCTCAAATAATTAAAAATAACTTAGAATTAGGGTTTCTTTTAATTTTAATTTTAATTTTCTTATTTCATAAATGCAAAAAACCTAAAAAACACTTCTTTTATTTCAATAAATAATTAATTAATTTTTAATTTCAATTTAACTTCAAAAGGGTCCAACGCCCTCGTTTCCAATCTTATTTCAATTCGCGCGTTTTATTTCGTTTCTTTTAAATATTTATGTAATTCTCCCAAAGCCATGTAACTCAGACATTTTATATTTCTCGCACTTTAGTTCTTTATTTATTTTCTGTCAAATCGGGTTCTGGAAATTTTGGCGATGTGGACCCGCGCCTTTGTAATAGTTTAGAACTTTTAATTTTCCGCATCTTCTTAACTGCTAATAAAATGCATGCAAGAATGAATGACAAAAAAATAAAAACAAACGCATAGATCACTAATAACATGACAAGATAAAATATTTGAATCTGACACACGAATCACACACCACCCCTAGGGTACGCCTCACTGTTGCCTTGCCTCGAAAGGTGATCGTCGAGTAGAGGATGTCTTAGTAAGTCCTCATGATCCAGGAACCTGGCATGAGGGTAGCTTCTAAGGTGTCTTCTCATTGCTCTGGTGATCACCATGTCCCGATCCTCGAATTGACCCGAACACCTCCAACAGTGGTGCTACCTACCTCTCAATGGTGGGATGGCACTACTTTAAAGGACATTTACACAGACGAATTCCTTAGGGTAGGTAGACGACTCTAGATACTTGCTCTAACTTTCAAAACGAATCAAAAATACTTTTCACACCGACACCTTTTCAAAAAGCTTTCGAAAGCAATTTTTCAAACACACTTGAGGACCGATACAAGAGTCGAACTGGAATTTTCAAAGAAACTTTTTTAAAAAACCACAGTTGAAAAGCAAACAAACCATTTTTGAAAACACAAATGAGCAAGTACCTAAGAGCCCGTGGATAACCACGGATAGAAAGGGTGCTAACACCTTCCCTTTCTATAACCTACCTCCCGAACCGAGAGCAATCTCTATAAGGAATTTTTCTGTGCTTTTGTCCTTTCCATTTGGAGAAAATAAAAGACGGTGGCGACTCTTGCTTCCGTGACATTTCGCGAACCAGCGTTAAACAGTCAGTTCCAGATCCACCGATCACAGGTTTTAATTTGAAAATTTTCATAACTTGGAATTTTTCTAAGTATAAATTTTTTCTTATTTTTCCCAACTTTTCACCACTTTTTCACCATGATGCATTTTGATTCAAGAAAAGTTCCAAACATGAAAGTTGCAGTCCTCCATGAAATATACAACTTTTATTCATAAAGTTTTCCCAAAAGATGCTTGGATCTCAAGTTATGAATTTGTGAATATAGGTCCATGAACTTCTTAACTTAGTGAAATTTTGCCCTAATTTAGGCAGGTTTTGGACCCAACTTCATGGATATTTTTCACCTAGTTCCAAGAGGTATCTCAAATTGTATTTCAAATATGTATTATAGATAACATTGCAAGCTTTCCAAAATGTCCAAGAACTCTCCAAGATCATTTTTGGTTAGGGAGAATCGAAGAAGGGAAGTTGGCATTTTCTCACTTTTGATCAAGCCATTTTCACATAGCATCAAGTTGCAAATCAGATCTATGTTGGTTATATCTTGATTTACAGGTCCTAAGCATGATATACACTCCATAATTAAATGCATACTCAGAAGCTAAAGCCTTTATCTATGCTTTTGAAGCTTTACACAAGATGTATTTCCATTTTTGGCCAAAAGTTCACAATGCCATTTTCATAAAGGGGAACTTTTGCAACTTTGTCAATCTTGAGCATTGAACCAGTCCCTTTGGTACAAGCAAAGTCTACATATCTCAAGCAATGTGTACCAACTCATTTCAGCCCTCAAGCAAACTAGTACAAGCATGTAGCATTGGTCTTGTCACTTTACTTAAAATGCAAGAAAAGTTGCAAAAAGGTCCAAAGCTTGCACAGCTAGTAAGGGCTGACTTTGTATCACTTCTCTACATATTTTCAAACTAGTTACAAGGCACAACACGCTTGGCTTGCATCGAAAACTCTCAAATTCAAAAACACAAAAATTCTTCCCAATCATACAGTTTTCTGCAAAAGCACAGCCAACTCTCATTTGGCTCGTGCGTTTTGTGTTTAATCATTTGAAACATATTATACACTTGATAACTAATCAATCCAAGCCATCACCCTAGTTCTGTAACCCCTATTTCAGCATCCACCATTTTCACTTTGGAAGCTTGCAGCTTGACTTGTTCAGAGAGTTCCAGCCATCCTCAAAGCAAGATAAGCATTAGAATAGCTTGAGGGAAGTTCAAGGAAGCTCAAACAGTCATAAGGCCTCCATTAAAGTCCCTACATTCTCCTACTCGAATCCAGCTGAAGGAGGTGTTTTTTTCAAACTCTATCTCTCTGAATAGGCAACCTCAAGCCACAATTTGTGAAGAAAAATGTAGTCCATATCATAACAAAGATGTACATATCTTTACTTTTCATTTATATTAACTGTGCTGAGAGAATTTGAAGATTAAAAACTCTGAAAAAGTTAGGTCACGAATTAGGGCTACCAAAATTCTCTCTGATCTTTAAGAGTTAGGTCACATAATTTATATGGTTAGAATCGTGAGCTCAAATGCCACATTTTTCATGTTATGAGTTTTTGTTTTTGTGCAAGCATAAGAGAGATACAGGTTTGAACATGAAGCGCGCACAGGAAACTGACCAAGGACAGGGACGAAGTGTTCTGGGCTTTTTGTGCTTTGGGCCTTTTTGCTTTTGATATTTGCACCCCCTGATTTGCTACTGCACCCCCTGGCTAACTTTTTATATTTTTGCATTTTTCTTCATATTTTTATATGTAATGCTTTTATTTATTTTTCTTAATGATAAAAAATACCAAAAAATGATTTATTTATTTTCACACTTTTTATTTTATTTTATTTTTTTATTATTTTCTCACATGAAAAATGGTTTATTTTGATAAATAGAACTTATTTTTTTTAAATTTGTAAATACCATAAAAAATACTTAATATTTTTATTATACTATTTGTACTCATAAATACTTATTTTTTATACATATTTAATTTTTAATATTTACATATAATATTATTTATTATTTTCTTATACAAAAAATGTACAAAATAATAATATAGAACATGTATTTTCTTTTAATTAAAAATTAGGGTTTCACCCCTTTCAAAAAGAATTAATTATTTCTCCTTATTTTTAGGTTTAAGTTGAATATTTCTTTTATATAAAAACAAGACACGAAACATTTTTAACATAAACATTGCATTGAATTTTAAATATTTGTCTTATATTTATTTAATTCGTGCAATACTCGATTTGGTTGTAATAATATATTTAGGTTTATATTTGTGCAAAATCCACAATCAAACTTGTATCCCCCCTCCCATAATAATTGTTGTAATAGCTTAGTTTATTTTACACAATTTATTGTTTTCATATACCATGTTTAGTAAATTAGGGTTTGCATGACAAGAACAAAAACAAAGCAAAATAGAAAACCTAAATACAAGACAAAAGCATGAAAATGACACACTTTGCGCACAAGCACCCTTAGGGTTTCTCCCACTTGGTTGCCTAAAATAAAATGGCCATGTTACGCATGCGAAGTATCTTGGC